GGAAGGGAGGGGCTATCTCCAAAGAGGAGTACTCCTCCTTGGCCTGTAAGTGTAGGAGGGCTATTAAGAAGGCCAAGGCAGAGATGGAGCTCAGGCTAGCGTCCAGGATTAAGGAAAACAAAAAGTCCTTTTTCAAGTACATTGGGAGCCCCGGCAAGACTCAAATGGTAACCTTGTGGCTACACCAGTCGAGGTCTGTTTTCTTGAACAGGGACTGGGACGTCCCTCCTGCCAGAGGTATGGACAATCACAGGGATAGCTCTGACAGGCCTTGGGTCAGCACAGAGGTAGTTAGGTATCTTTTGGAAGGGCTGGATATTTTTAAATCTGCAGGTCCAGATGTCCTCCACCCAAGGGTGTTGAGGGAGCTGGCACGGGTCATCACAGAGCCCACAGAGGCTGTATGAGCATTCGTGGTCATCTGGCCAGGTGCCAGGGGATTGGAAACTACATGAAGCCTCACCTCAGTCCTTGGGAAGATCTTGGAGAGAATCATCAAGGAACACATCTGTGGGGGGGTCAGCAGGGGAGATCATGCTCAGGGCAACCAGCATGGGTTCATCAAAGGCAGGTCCTGCCTGACCAACCTGATTGCCTTTTATGACCAAGTAACTAAATCCTTGGATGATGGTGTCACCATGGACGTAGTCTTTCTAGACTTTAAGAAGGCCTTTGACACCGTCTCTCACCCCATTCTCATTAATAAATTAAGTGACTGTGGCATTGATGCCTACACAGTTGGATGGGTAAAAAACTGGCTGATGGGGTGCACCCAGAGAGTAGTGGTGGATGGGTTGTACTCAACCTGGCGAGATGTGAGCAGTGGGGTACCCCAGGGCTCAGTCCTCAGGCCCACACTGTTTAACATCTTCATCACCGACTTGGACGAGGGGGTTGAAAGCACATTGCCCAAGTTTGCGGATGACACTAAGATGTGGGGCAAGGTAGACACACTTGAAGGGAGAGAGAGGCTGCAACTAGATTTAGACAGACTACAAAAGTGGGCAGATGAGAATAGGATGGGGTTCAATGTAGACAAATGCAGGGTGCTGCACCTTGGGAGAAGGAATCCACAGCA